AATGGTTATGAAAGGAACATATTAAAGGTGGGGTAGGTAATTTTGGAGAAACCAGCTCGAGTGCGCTAGAATTTGAAAATACACAGCCGGAACAAATCTGCCACTTCCTTACAGAGCCCCTCCTCCAACACACACGAACGCGCACATGACCAATGAGGGCACGAGATAAGTTTGTGCACAGATGGAAGGCTGACAGGCAGGTAGGCCATCCAGTTATTTTAGCCGGGCCAGCTAAAATGATTGGTCGTGCTTTTTACAGTATTACGGCTTCCACAGATGACATTTTTGTATGGATTTTTTGTCAAAGCACTTAAGATATTCATTGCTATCGGGATGTTAAGAGCATTCCATGGAATATAACAAAAAGTGTATCTCGAGCCGGTTTCTCAAACTTACCTACCCTACCTTTAAGGTGCCTGTCTATCTATAATAGATGAAAAGATGGACACTGAATAGAAGTCTATTACTATTTTACCAAGTTCACAATGAATTGGTATAAACGGTTCAGTGTTAGGTGAGCTCTCTTTACAACATTGCATTGTTTTGCTGTAAACCTTTAAAGAGAATGTTGGTTCATCGTACAAAAAGTGCTGATTTTGATAGTGGAGTCAATGTTGTTAGGAATAAAAGAGCAACTCCAACAAGCAGAAGTGTTCAGATGGCAGCAAAGCAAGCGTTCAGCCACTGAAACTCCATCCTCCCAGTACCAACACACATAATGACCAAATAGACATGTTAACAACTTGCTACATTTAATCATCAACTTAAACACTGGGACTATATTTTGGCAGTGTATCCATCCGCCCAGCACTTCTCTGCAGTGTTTAGGTCATTGTGCAGCTTTGGGTCTGTTTGCAGTGCGGCTGCAGCTACATATTAGTTCAGTAATCCATTATTTTACTGATAATCCCCTTAATTAATTGAGTTATGTAATACAAAACAATGTGCTCTAATAGAAGCAGTATGACACAAGAGAAAAGACTGACCAACTAATTTGGTTTCCATAGTTAGAAAAATCCACATGTATTTTGCTCAAATTGCAAATGACAACATTAGCTGTAAAAACTGAACCCATGTGGCTTCAAGTGCAGTTTGAGGTTTCAAGGCTCCAGACTTCTAAAACCGTCCCAAAATAAAGGAAACCTCCCAGAGTCCATGTTAACTGACAGCATTTTTTTTTAATCATTACAGTAATAATAATAATATTAGATTATAATTATTATACTTATACAGTTACTTTCTTATCTTCATTAAGTTTTACTCAAAAATGAAATTTAACATATATGACAAACATATAATGATAACGTTATAATTAACCTTCACCCAATGAACTGAATAGAGCTTGAACGCATCATAATGCATATTCCATCAGACAGGTATTATGATAGGTAGAGATCACAAGAGAGTGGAAAGGCCCATTATACCAGGAATGGACCTCAGAACTGGGTGTGTGCACAGAACATCCTGCAGCCTATTTACAGAGGTATAAAAATACTAAATATGGAATGTTTATTCCCATTTACTCACTACAGCTGAACCAGTCAACACACCTTTGCGGGCATTGAGAGTTAAAACACACAGGGGCTTCTTATAGTGCTAGATACAGCGTGTGATGGTGGACATACAGAGACAGATCTGTAGAGAGAAGGACTGCAGGAGGGGGGGGGGCAGTGCAGCAGAGGGAACATCCTATGGTTTTACCTTATAACTTATAAAGACTATGAGACATATACATCTGACTAATGTTCATCACATTTCATGTTTAATAGTTTTCCATCCGCTGTACATTACTTCCTTATTATTTTCCACTCTCCTGCCATTGTTTGTTTGTAGCCTTTATTTATCCAGGTTAAAAAATCCCATTGAGATCAACGATCTCTTTTACAAGGGAGACCTGCGGCACATTTAGTTATACATATAAAAACAAACAGAAAACAAAAGGACATCACAACATAATTACAGGGGTATACATTAGCAACCTATTTACATTTACAGGTATCCAATAATATTTCATCCAGCCGTGCTTTAAAATGATGCAAGGGAATCAAAATGCTGAGTTTCAATATTTTTTGCATGGTGTTCCAAGCCAGAGGAGCAGCGCACATAAAAGCTTTAGCACCTAAAACAGTCCTAGCACTTGGCACATGTAATAAAAACACATCCTGTGATCTCAGGCAATAGCTACTTGCCACTCTCCGTGAGATCAAGGAGCAGATATAAGAAGGTAGTTTACCCAGCATGGCTTTGTAGATGAACATGTACCAATGACTGAGCCTCCGACCAGTAAGTGAAGGCAGACCTGCCTTGGCATACAGGGTACAGTGATGAGTAAGTACTTTACAGTTAGTAACAAATCTCAGAGCACTGTGATAGGCGGCATCTAACCTTTCCAGGCAATGGGCAGGTGCATTCATATACAACAAATCACCATAGTCTAGCACAGGTAAAAAGGTCACAGTGACTAGCCTTTTCCTGGCTTCAAAAGAGAAACAGGACTTGTTTCTGAAAAAGAAACCTAATCTAACCCTCAGCTTTTTAAGCAGATTAGTGACCTGAAGTTTAAAAGTAAGACAATCATCAAGCCAGATACCAAGGTATTTATAACAGCTAACCACTTGGAGTACTTGTCCTTGCATAGTCACAATATCCAAAGCAGTCTCTGGAGTCTTTTTAGCTTTAGAAAAGAGCATTGCTTTGGTTTTCTCAACATTTAAAAGAAGCTTTAGTTCAGAGAGCTGAGTCTGAATAATGTTAAAAACAGCCTGTAATTTAACAACCGCCTCCTTAATCGAGGGACCTGCACAGTACATCACGGTGTCATCCGCATAAAAATGCAAAGTAGCTTCATCCACATTTTCACCTAAACTATTGATGTAGATGGAGAATAAAAGTGGACCTAAAACAGAACCTTGAGGAACACCATTAGCAATGTTCAACCACTCAGAAGACAGCCCATCAAAGTGAACACATTGGGACCTTTCAGAGAGGTAGTTCACAAACCACCCCACTGCATGGCTGGATAAGCCAATACTGAGTAGCCTCTGCTTTAAGATGTGATGATCGACGGTGTCAAACGCTTTGGAAAGGTCAATAAATAGAGCTGCACAACTCTGCTTTTTATCTAAAAAACTTGTAATGTCATTCACCACTTTCATTGTGGCAGTGATGGTGCTATGTTGCTTTCTGAAGCCTGACTGATGTTTAGACAGAATGTCATTGTTACATAAAAACTCCTTTACCTGTTCACTCACTAGGCGTTCAAGAACCTTAGCCAGAACTGACAATTTCGAGATTAGCCTATAGTTATTTAAAACAGTTGCCTCCCCTCCTTTTAGTAGTGGCAGGACATAAGCTGACTTCCATACTTTAGGAATTGTGTTTGTGCTGAGGGAGAGGTTAAAAAGAGTAGTGAGAGGTGGAGCAATAAAATCTGCAGCTATCTTTAAAAAGAAAGATTCTACGTTGTCCGGGCCAGCCGGTTTCTTAGGATCTAACTTAGATAAAGCTTCATGAACAACATTTACAGTAAAAGGAGTAAAACTGAAAGGGTTTTCCAGACCACATTGTTCAGAGTCACCGACTGTGGTGTTCACAGAAGCAGAATTAGTCACAGAATCAAACATAGAACCGCAGGACACAAAATGCTCATTAAAACAATTTAACATAGTAGCCCTGTCCGATATAGAGCCAGATGCTGTGGTAATGCACGGAGGTAGCTCATTTCGGATCTCACCGGTGGATAGCGATTTTATGGCTTTCCAAAATTTCCTAGGATTATTTAGGTTTTCTGTAGTAACTGACAAATAGTACTTCGACTTAGCACTTTTGACATGTGAAGTGAAGCTATTTCTTAGCTGCCTAAAACGCAGCCATTCTACCTCTGAGCCTGATTTCCTAGCCTTTGCCCAGGCCTTGTTTCTCTCATGCAGGAGACTGGACAGTTCAGCAGAAAACCAAGGATTGTCTCGTCCCTTTACTCTAAAAGTACGTAGGGGTGCATGTTTATCTATAATTTCCATAAAACCAAGATAAAAATAAGACCATGCAGTTTCAACATCAGCACACAGATCGATTTTTCCCCAATCAAACCCAAACAGATCATGAACAAAACCCTGCTCCACAAAATGTTTTATGTGTCTCTTAATAATAATACGGGGTTTAACCTTTTGGACCTTAGTGTCCCTAATTGTGGCTACAACACAGTGGTCACTCACATCATTTGCAAATACTCCCACAGATGAGTATTTATAGGGAACATTAGTTAGAATGAGATCAATTAGGGAGGATTTATTTGGGGACTTAACGTTAGGGCGAGTAGGACTGTCAACAATCTGAGTAACATTCAGAGAGATACAAAGGTTTTTAAAATCCTCTGATACTGCAGTTAACCAGTCCCAGTTAAAATCTCCAAGTAGCACTATTTCCTTGTAGTCTAGTTGTGATAAAAGTGTTGCTAGTGAAGACAAGGAGTCCTTGACAGCTGAGGGGGTCTGTAACAGCCCACCACCATGACTTGTTGCCCCTTTGCCACTTCTATATTTAAGGCTAAAAATTCGAATTGCTTACTGATAGATTTGGAAACTAATGTGGTTACACTGAACTTATTCTTAACATAAATGGCAACTCCACCACCTTTATTAGGCCGGTCGGTACGATACACATTATAACCATTTAAGGATATGTCAGAGGCCAAAATAGTTTTATTTAGCCATGTTTCTGATAACACAATGACGTCAGCGTCAGTCGAGCTCGCCCAAATGCGGACAAAATCTAGTTTACCTAACAGACTGCGCACATTCAAGTGGATGAAACCCAACCCAGATCTAGCTTTAAAATCAGCAGGAGTAGCGATCTGACTACTACTACTGGGCGGACCAGGGTTAGGTTGAACATTTCCTGACAGTAATAACAACAAAAAAAACAGGCATCTTTTCCTCTTAATCGACACACACACATTGTCATCTACTTTAGAATCATCGGAAAAGTCTGCGAGAGTTTGATTAGAGCTTAAGAAGCAGTCCTGAAGAACCATCATCGCAGGCAAACAAAAAAGACAAACATATTTTGTCGAGCAGATTGTCTGCGACAAGGTGACCGGTAAATGTTTGTGTAAGACATCCGAACCTTTACAGGGGATGTCCACTGCGGGCGGTAGAACAGACCTGAACCCAGTCGACTTCTCCGGATGACGAGAGAACTTCTCATTGTCCAAAATAGCTAACAGGCATAGCAGAATCACAATAGGGGCCATTTTCCCAGACCAGCACAGCATCCGGATAGGTGCGCAAGCAGGCCCGAAACGTGGAGGCGCTCCGGTCTCTCCGTGATGACCCCGGTGCAAAACCTCCTCAGCACAGCAGGATAGGCGAAGCAGGCCCAGCTCGAGGCGTAGAGGCGCTCCGGTCTCTCCGCGATGTCCCCGGTGAAGATCCTCCTCAGCACAGCAGTACAGGATAGGCGAAGCAGGTCCAGCCCGAAACGTAGAGGCGCTCCGGTCTCTCCGCGATATCCCCGTGGTAAAACCTCCTCGGCACCGTAGAGCACGACAGGTGGAGCAGGTGGATACAGGCCTCCGCTACAGCAGGTGTAAAGCAGGCCGCAGCCCGAGCGCGAAGCCGCTCCGGTCTCTCCGTTACGTCAAAAGAAACGTACACAATACAGCCCCAGACAAGCTCAATGTGTCTGCCTGCCATAGTTCAGGGATTGTGCTGCAAGTCAACAAAATCATCAAAGACCTCAGGTAGCTGCACACCAGAGGTTTTAGAAGTATTCAGATCTTCTACTTAAGTAAAAGTAGAAGTACCAGAGTGTAGGAATACTCTGTTGCAGTAAAAGTCCTGCACTGTATTAGCTTCAGAATATAGTAATACAGTAGAATAAAAGTAGTCATTGTGCAGATTGGTCCATTTCAGAATAATATATATGATATGTTTTATAATTATTGATCATTAAAGTGTTATCAAAGCTGGTAAAGGTGCAGCTAGTTTTAATGACTTTGTGACTGGGTGTGCTCTTTCATTGGCCGAGAGTGAGCGGGAGCTGCCACAGCAGCAGAGTGTTCTCAGTGTCTGAGCAGGGGGGGGGCCCCAGGTCCCATCCTGCGGGATCCTCTGCCCCCGGAGAAGACGGCTGTGGAGGTGACTTTGCCGCGCCTGGCCTCCCCCTCCTTCCCCCGCTCCATGGGCCGCCCCCTCACCCACACATCAGGGTCCTCACTAACCTCATAGATAGAGCCATCCTCTGGGCTGTGCTCTGGGGAGTCTGGGAGGGGCTGGGGGTTCCCCTGGTCGGGCTGTGCTGTCAGCAGCCTGCCGGGCAGCTGTCGGGTGGAGTGGAGGCGGTACTGCAGTAGGAGGCTGGGCTTCTCCCTGGGTGAAGGAGCTTCTGCGTCCTTGGAAGAGCTGCCCTGATCCAACCTCTGCCCCCCTTCTCCGTTGACACCCTCCTCGCAACCGTTAAGGATGGAGTTCCGCCTGAGCAGGTCGGAGGCCAGAGTGCTGGACGTAGCCACCAGGACGTCCACCGGACCACAGTGAGCGTTCAGAGACATCATCCCCTTACCTGGGGGTTCAACAGTTCTGAATGTTACCTGGGGGGGCAGCCTGTATAGTAGTTTCCGCAGTGTATGAATTTGTGTGTGAATCTGTAATCTGTCTGTTCTACTCCCTGTTAGTGTTGTCTATCTGGCAGTGAGTACCTTAGTCAACACAGGTATAAGTTGGGTATATAAGTATAAGATTTGTTTGTAATTTGGGGGACAATGGATGTTGCAATCAGATCTACATCAGGTCTCTTGGAGGATAATAATGTCTCCATTTTGTGTGCTCTCTTTAAATTCATGTAAAATAATTTATACCCTGGATGTTCCACATAGAGTTGGAGAGAGTGTGTGTGTGTGTGTGTGTGTGTGTGTGTGTGTGTGTGTGTGTGTGTGTGTGTGTGTGTGTGTGTGTGTGTGTGTGTGTGTGTGTGTGTGGTGCGTGTGCGTGTGCGTGTGTGTGCGTGTGTGTGTGTTGCACTGACCTGTGATCTTGGGGATGCCCTCCAGGGTGGGCACAGGGAAGGTGAGGATGACACCCTGACTTGTCCCCACCCACAGCAGGCCCTGGCAGATCAGCAAGCTGGAGACACACATTTCACCTGGAAGATAAACACACATCGCCCAATAACATTAGAACCATTACTGTTGACACAGCAACGATACAGTCCTTTCATCCAGGAACCACTGCATTGTCATGGCTGCTACCTCTGCTTTTATCAATGCTTTTACTTATAAAAGTCTTTTTTTATTACTGCAGTGAGAGATGCCAACGGATTTGTTTAAATACATGAACAGGACGACATGACAGTGTACAAAAGTCACAAAAAATGATTTATCAGATTATTTACCTCTATAAAGCTCATGGCTCTAATGCTGAGCTGCAGCATGCAATTAGGACTTATTTTAGTTCTAAGCATGAGATTAAATGTGTGTGTGATACGGTAACCGTGTCTGTCCGCGTGGATGTTAACCAGCGTCCTGGCCTTGCCTGTTGTCAGATGGGCGGTGCGGGTGGAGATGTTGACTTCCTGTAGATGTTCCAGGGTCTCTGTGTGAAACAGGTGGATAGAGGATCCCTGGGTGAAGGCCATCCACACCCCCCCGCCTGAGCGAGTCATATGGCTAACACTGCGTCCTGGATCAGAATGGGCTCTGAAACTCTGAGAGAAGAGAGGTGCTCAAATATCACACAAACCCATGTGGAATCATTTTTGTGCCATGTTTGTGTGTTATTATCCACAAAGGCAGACCATTTAATCACACCCATTGCTTTGAAGACACGTGTGGCAGAATGTTATTGATTTTACACTTCTGTTCATCATGTTGTTGGTTAATTAGAATGTTCTTTATCAAACTGAAAGCCTGTCTTTACTATTTCATAAGTGCCTGACTGGGATCATTTTGAATAATCATTAAATCCACAATGAAGAGGATCTAAAGCCAATGTAAAAAATTGGCAACAAATAGAAACTGAAGAGTCACTCCACTAGCTAGGATGAGGCACATGAACTGTTTATCTGAGAGCAAACATGACTAAGTAATGCTGAAGTTAAGGTTTCAGCTGCAGCAGTGCCTCGCACCATGTGCCTTAGGTCGGCCTAGTTTTAGAAAAAGCTTTTTAACATGAACCTGTGCAACAGAGCAGAGGTGAAACATTTATTAAGCAAACAATTTGAAGATGTAGTGACTACTCTGCCAATGGTGGCATCATTTAAATGAGCATTTTAACAACATGGTCTATTTGAAAGAACGGGACAGCTTAACAATAACTACAGTCACTCAGTCCAGAGGGGATTTCTGCCTTTCTTCGTGTTCATCCACTCCACAGCTTCTACAGTTAGCTAGGAGTAAACCTGTATTTTAGCAGTGTCACAAACACTGCCCGGCACTGCGGCATCAGAGACACAGCTTGTGAGGGCCGGCTGATGCAGGCTGTGTACTACTGCATAACATGTGGCATTCAGTGGGATGGATACAACGCTGCTGTTACAGTTGCTTGGAATATTTGATAACCAATCATGTAGCCTGTGAAGCATGAGGACTGTTTGTTCAGTCCAACATAAAGCTGTGTTCTTCATTTGGAATCCTGGGGGCTTCTTCATTAGATGCCTCACCGCTGCGCTATTTTGCTAACAGTGGTTTGTTTTTAAATGTAGCACAGCTCAAATGGTCTTCCTAAGCCAATCACAGTGGGCCTTTCTCATTTCTCTAATTCCCCTCCTCGACTCCCCTCCTCGACTCCTATCCTCGTGTCTTACCCCTAGATTCCACTGGGTCCGTCTGCGCCACGTTACGGGCGCGTTACGGGCGCGCCGCCGCGTTCGCAGTGATCGCTGTGTAAAGGCAGCCTCAGTAGGTGATCAGCTGATCAGCGTGGGCTGTGTGTGACTCTCTTTTGGCGCGTCTCCACTACAGCGCGGAGCACGGTTTAAGAGGGCTGTGACGTCAGCAGCCCGTTTTTGGTTGCGTTTCCACTTGGCCTAGTACCGGCCGGCGGGTCCTAATTCACAGTTTTTCTGGCCTCATAAAATCGTGGTTCTAGGTCCAGAGACAACGAGGCTGAGTCGGGCTGAGTATGCTAAACTAGAGAGAGAATCGCTGGCAAGGGGGCTACAACTACAACAAGATGGACATATTTGACCGTGATTTAATTGTAATACACGTTTCAAAATGATGCCGAAGTAACAACATACTGATACCGGTTAGTAAAAACCATGAATTAATGCTTTGACAAGTCTGCAGACAGACGGCAGGCGAAAAACCTTTTAAAATGCGTGTTTTCTAAATGGAGATTGGCTAAGCTAACGCAGTATATGCTCCGACCGTCCACACTCACAACAACGGCCTATACAGACATAAATAAAGCAGCGACTGTATTCGCCATGACACAGACAGTCTGTGGTTTGTACTTGTTTCACTTTTGTCTAGTTTCTGAACATATATGAGGAGCTGTGAGCTCTGAGTGCTAACAGCTAACGGCTGTGTTGTTTTTCTGGGGTTCTCATTGAAGATGACGTCACGGCTCCGCCTACACTGCGTTACTATAGATACTACCCCAGTTCCTAAACTGTAATGTAAATGCGCCATAAAGTGAGCCAGTCCTAACGAGGCCTAGCCATACCGAGCGAGGTCGTGTAGTGGAAATGCGCCATTTGTTTACACACCTAATGGCCACTCAGCCACAGCTCTCCCCCCCCTCCTGTGATCTCCCAACCCCCCTGTGATCTCTCTTCTCCAGCAGTAACGTTTAACTGTAGGTTTGTGTTCGCATATTTATGCTGTCGCAGTTCCTGTTGTTTCTATCGCGCATTGCCGGTATGAAAGGGTCTGTGCCGGAAATATCAAACATTTCATAAAAGTGAAAAACAATGAACAAGACTTAACGTATTAATAATAATTAATTATATTTATTCCGTTTGGATGTACGATTATTGACTTTGTTTAGAGCAGTGATCTTCTCTTCCTCTCTGCAGCAGAGAGCTAAGCGCTGTCAGACCGGACCATGGCTGTAAAGGCAGAGGGGTGTCTCTAGTTCCCCCTCGACACATAGATAGACTGATCCTTTTTTTGGTCCATGTCCGATTGGCTTAGAGCTTTCGCGACTGCAAACATTTTTAAACAAACATTGACCATGTACCGTTCACCACCCCCCACCCCCCGACAGCTCCCTTATATCAATGCAGGGCTGTGACTCTTTGTTTCAAAAGTAATGGTCCATTGGAATGTGACAAAACTCTCCCCCCCCCCCCTGTTCTACAGCAGTGGTCTGAGGCTGGTGCCCCACGAGGACGAAAACGGGTTGTATCCGCATATTTCTCTTGCGTATAGCCCTTTTTGCTACACGAGGCCGTTACTAAACGATAGAAACGGACCCCGCAAACGATAACGGGTCCAAAGGTGGATAGATCTGGGAACGGAGCGCTCTGGGGGGGGTCATACGGCTCCGTGTGATCGCCTCTATACGATCATTTTGTGATAATGATGACGCCAATAGCCCTGCCTCTCCCCGCCTCTGCTGCTCACCCCCGCAAAAGTACACTGCACACTGAATTCAGATTATTTATCTTTATCTCGATATGGACATAAACGCGAGTGAAGTCTAATCTGACAGGACGGAGACACGCAGCTCCTCCCGCTGTGATGCAGCGGGAGCAAAACACACACTTCAAGTCAGATCATCACCCTTAGCTATTTTAATTACCTCTCAAACTACCTAAACTAGTTATAAATATGTTTATTTTTACTGTCGGGTCACTCATTACTGGATCAGCTGCTGCATGAGACAGACACTGACGCTGTCAGAAGAGAGGAAAAAGAGACAGGCTCCGTGTATTTTATTATTATATATAGTCGTTATTCATTTGTTTTAAAGCTCAATAAATAACAAAGAAGACCTTTGACCGGCACTTTTATAATTTTGTCCGGAAGATTTCAACTTTAACACACGTTGACCGGCGAAAAACTCTGCCCGGTTCCCTCTGCCCCCACCACGGTGAATAAACAGAAGGGCAACTATGACGACCATGCTTCTTCGCTGCTTTTTCTGGAGGAAGTTACAGCGCCACGTACAGGCTCGGCATATGTACTGCAGCTTTTTCCAGTGGTTGGAGCTAAACGGAGCTGTCTCGTGTGAACAGACACTATCCGGTGTATATTGCGTGTGGACGGAAGCTTTTTTGCAATTGCGATTGCGTTAATCCTATGCGTTTTGCCGCATGCGTTCCCGTGGGGCACCAGCCTGAAAGGGTCTCTGGAATTATCAAACATTTAATTAAAGTTTTAAAAACATTGACAGGGTCCAAACTCAGAGGTGGAAGAAGTGTTCAGATTATTTACCTAGGTAAAAATACGTATTAGAAGTAAATGTCCTGCATTCAAAATTGTCAATTGCCCAAGTGAAAAGTATTATCATCTGAAAGTAAAATGAATCATTATGTTATTAGCATTAAATACATATAAGTATTTTTACAACTTGTATTTAGAAATACTCCGTTGTAATTATTGATGCATAAATGTGTTCATCCATTCAATGTGGCATCTGCTATAATGGGGTTAATGTATGATATTACTTAATAATACAATACATTATAATATATGATATGATAATTACATTTTAATTGTATTCATTTCTTATTTCATAGTTTCTCATCATTTTTATTTGTATCGCTGATCTTATTTTTGATTTGATTAATCTGTGTGAATCTGTGCTGTCCTGTTTTTCACTCTCACCCTGTTGCTGTTTGAACTACTGAATTTCCCCTCGGGGATTAATAAAGGTCCATCTTATCTTATCTTATCTTAAAGTATAAGTTGATTTACTTCGATCTACTGTACTGTGTAAAAACACCACAACAATATTACAAAAAATATACTGCATATTAAAGCAAACTATTGTAAAGGTAAAAGTATGAGCATAAAAAATGTAAGAAGTGTAAACATTTACATTATTATTATGATTATTTAATATATAAAGACTATATATTATTGAATTACAATTAAGATAATAAGATTAGATATACTTTATTTGATCTAAAATATTGATGTTTTTTCGTTATAGTAGCCTGTGAAAACCATAACAAATAAGTGATTAAATGCTCTTCAGCAAACACAACTGCAGAGCTGCAACATTGTAAACAGACTAAGTTCTACTGTACTGTATCTCATGGTTAAATCCTGTAATTGAAGAAATGGGGGAAATTTGGTAACGCCCTCTAGCAATTTGGCAACGCCCCCAGCCACTGGGATCCGCTGGGTTTTTGGTTGGAATCCGCTGGGTGGAGTCCTATCTGGAGTGCTACATCTGTACTGTATGTGGCCGAGCTACCCAGCTACAGGACACACAGGCTGCTCAGGGACTTTGAAGGATAGCTCCAACTGTTTTACATGCTCTATCCATTCCCCTATTCATACTGGCTATAAAGGGATATCACTTTATATTGCACTCCCAGAAGTAATATTTCCCAAAGTCTTTTCAGTATTGACGTTGACCAAAGTGGAACACCAATGATCCAAGACCAACACTCATTTAAAATACTTCTAAAATCGTATTTCCATGTGGACGAAGTGCCCCTGGACCTACCTGTGTGTGGAGGCTGGTTCCCTGGATCACGGAGACCTGGTTGGCACAGCTGGCCCAAACCGTGTCTTCCAGTGTGAGCAGGGTGCAGACGGGGGGGCCGCCCAGAGACAGCAGCCGGCACGAGTCCACATCCCACAGTCTCTCTAAAGGGGAACAAAGATTTAGAACCCGTCCACAGCTCTGTGCTCAGGTTCTGCAGTGGTGTGATGTGCAGCAGCATCAGGATGCACCCACCCCCCCGGTTCCTGCGGTACACTGCCACCCTGCCATTAGCCAGTCCGGCGAGGAGGAGATCCGGCGTGTGTGTGAGGCAGAGGACGGGACTGCGGTCTGGGGTGATTAAGGTCAGCAGCCACTGCACCGCTGTGTCCACGCTGCTGTACACAGAGACGCTGCAGAGACATGGCGCACACTCCACTGAAGAGTCAAAAACGACACAGAATGACAGACAGACTAAAAGGAAGCTTCCGTCTGAGATACCGGCCTCATGTCTGTGTTCACCTCTTGAGGTTGTAGTAGAATAAAATAAGTAATTGTGTATTAATAGCAGATGTCAAAGGTATTGAGAAAGATTACTCACACTGCCCAACAACACAGACTGTAAGATTAAAGTAGGAAAATGTCACTGTGGTGCAGATACCATGTGAAGAAATGGAATAGAAATATGGCTAATATGAGTCTATAAAAGAAGACCAGGGGCTTCATTTATAAACGGTGCGTAAGCTCAAAAGATGGCGTACGCCAGTTTCTACGCAATGTTTGCGATTTATAAAAAACAAACTTGACGAGAAAATGTGCGGTCCTCCACGCAAACTCTGACCCATGCGTACGCACTAAGCACAAAAACGGGAGAGACGAGAAACTGCGACACCGTTGGCAGAAGGAAGAATGGAGAGAAATATGTGGAAATAATACCATAAATAAAATGTTACCTCATTTATCATATATGAAGAATTAATTTTCACAAATTGATTAAAGCCAATCTTAAAATGATTTTACAAACGCCTGTTTGAGACTCCTCTGTTACGGTTTTGTATTTATGTTTTCATTTTCCACCTTTTTGTTTTGAAATGTTTGCCTCCTTGTGTCTTCTCTGTTCCTTCTTCCTGTGTTTGCCTTCCTGTCATTAGTTCCCCTGGTGTGTCTGATTGTCTGATTGTGTTCACCTGTTGCCCTTGTGTTTCTGCCTCTCTTACCCCAGCTGTGTCTTGTCTTGTGATTACCCCTCCCTGTATTTAGTCTTGTCTCTTCCTGTGTTCCCCTGTCGGTTCATTGTTGGTTTTTCCTGTCTTCCTCCATGTCAGTCACGGTTGTCTCTCCTGTCTCCCTCCATGTGGGTCACGGTCAGTTTTTTGTACAACCCATTTGTTTCATGCCTTGTTTTGATCAGCTTTTAAAATAAAGCTCGCTTTTTGTTACGAGACCTGTTACCTTTTTGATAGTCTGCATTTGGGTCCTACCCTTCCACGCCATCCTAACAGAATGAACCGACCAGCTTTGGACTCAGCAGACTCGGATCGTTTTGCTCTACAGGCAGAATGTCTTGGGTACTCTCTGGAGTACATTTTTTATACCTGGAATGGCGCCTCTTCTAGACGTGGTAGAGAGGCTGCGTTGAAGGAGGCACGTCAGGAGGTTGCTCGCCAGCCCTGGCTTAGGAGCATGTTGCCTGAGTGGCTACAACTTTTCACAAGTAGTCCTGAGGACTTGTCCGAAGCCTCTAACCCTTTCCTGGGGTATGACCAGGCCTGGGGAGGCCCACAGATCCTCCAAAGAATCTCTAGGAGACGCAAGACCAAGATTCCAGCCCGTGCTCCAGTGGTTCCAGCTCCATTCTCTGGCCCTTTTTTGGGATCCCGCCTGGCGTTTGGAGGTCCACGGAGCCTCCAGGGGGCCTCGGAGAAACGCAAGGTCGGGAGGCCGGCTCGTGGTCCAGTACCGGCCCACACAGCCATGGATCCGTGCACCAGTACCGGCCCACACAGCCATGCTTCCGTGCTCCATTACCTGGCTCACACAGCCAGGGTCCAGGCTTCTGTTCCGTGCCCAGCAGCCATAGTCACTGCTCCAGAACCGGACCTTACAGTCATGTTTCCGTGTTCCAGTGCCGGTCCACACAGTCATGGTACCGTGCTCCAGTACCATCCCACACAGCCATGGTTCCGTGTTCCGGTTCCGTGCCCAGCAGCCATGGTGCCTGCTCTAGTACCGGCCCACACAGCCATGGTTCCGGCTCCAGAACCGGCCCATACAGCCATGGTTCCAGCCCCAGTTCTGGCCCCAGCAGCCATGGTTCCGGCCCCAGTTCTGGCCCCAGCGGCCATGGTTCCGGCCCCAGCAGCCATGGTTCCGGCCCCTGTTCCGGTCCCAGCAGCCATTGTCCCGACTTCAGTTTCGGCTCCAGTACTGGCTCCCCGGCCGACGCCAGCCCCCCGTGTCCTGTCGGTGGTCCGGCCGACTCCAGCACCTCGTGTCCTGTCGGTGGTCTGGCCGACTCCAGCACCCCGTCTCCTGTCGGTGGTCCGGCCGACTCCAGCACCTCGTGTCCTGTCGGTGGTCCGGCCGACTCCAGCACCTCGTGTCCTGTCGGTGGTCCGGCCGACTCCAGCACCCCGTCTCCTGTCGGTGGTCCGGCCGACTCCAGCACCTCGTGTCCTGTCGGTGGTCCGGCCGACTCCAGCACCTCGTGTCCTGTCGGTGGTCCGGCCGACTCCAGCACCTCGTGTCCTGTCGGTGGTCCGGCCGACTCCAGCACCTCGTGTCCTGTCGGTGGTCCGGCCGACTCCAGCACCTCGTGTCCTGTCGGTGGTCCGGCCGACTCCGGCCCCCCGTGTTTTGTCAGTGGTTCGGCCCACTCCAGCCCCTCGTGTTCTGTCGGTGGTCCGGCCGACTCCAGCACCCCGTGTCCTGTTGGCTCTATGGCCGACGCCTACCCCATGTCCTGTGATGTTGGAGGTCCCGCCGACTACTCTTCTGCCGGGGGTCCTGCCAACCCTATGTCCTGTGCTGTTGGAGGTCCCGCCGACTACTCTCCTGCCGGGGGTCTTGCCAACTCTATGTCCTGTGCCGTTGGAGGTCCCGCCGACTACTCTTCTGCCGGGGGTCTTGCCAATCCTATGTCCTGTCCCGTTGGGGGTCCCGCCGACTACTCTTCTGCCGGGGGTCCTGCCAACCCTATGTCCTGTGCTGTTGGAGGTCCCACCGACTACTCTCCTGCCGGGAGTCTTGCCAACTCCATGTCCTGTCCCATTGGGGGTCCCGCCGACTACTCTTCTGCCGGGGGTCTTGCCAATCCTATGTCCTGTCCCGTTGGGGGTCCCGCCGACTACTCTTCTGCCGGGGGTCCTGCCAACCCTATGTCCTGTGCCGTTGGAGGTCCCGCCGACTACTCTTCTGCCGGGGGTCCTGCCAACCCTATGTCCTGTGCCGTTGGAGGTCCCGCCGACTACTCTTCTGCCGGGGGTCCTGCCAACCCTATGTCCTGTGCCGTTGGAGGTCCCACCGACTACTCTTCTGCCGGGGGTCTTGCCAATCCTATGTCCTGTCCCGTTGGGGGTCCCGCCGACTACTCTTCTGCCGGGGGTCCTGCCAACCCTATGTCCTGTGCTGTTGGAGGTCCCACCGACTACTCTCCTGCCGGGAGTCTTGCCAACTCCATGTCCTGTCCCATTGGGGGTCCCGCCGACTACTCTTCTGCCGGGGGTCTTGCCAACCCTGTGTCATGTGCCGTTGGGGGTTCAGCTGTGGGTCCTGCCAACCCCATGTCCTGTCCCGTTGGGGGTCCCGCCGACTACTGCTCCGCCAGGTTTCCTGCCAACACCAGATCCTGTCCTGTTGGGGGTCCCGCCGACACCTGCTCCACCAGATTTCCTGCCTACACCATGTCCTGTCCTGTTGGGGGTCCCGCCGACACCTGTCCCGCCGGGGGTCCTGCCAGCTCCATGTTCTGTTCTGTTGGGGGTCCCGCCGACACCTGTCCCGCCGGGGGTCCTGCCAACTCTGTGTCCTGTCCTGTTGGAGGTCCCGCCGACACCTGTTCCACCGGGGGTCCTGCCAACTCTGTGTCCTGTTCCGTTGGAGGTCCAGTCGACACCAGCCCTTGCTCCATCCGGGGTCCCATTGACACCAGTCCATGTCATGTCCAGGATCCCGTCTACGCCTGTTCCGTCGGCTCCGGTTCCTGTCTGGCCGACAACGGGTCCTGCCCGGCCTCCGGAGCTGTCCCGTCAGCACCTTCCTGCCCGGCCTCCGGAGCTGTCCCGTCGACGCCTTCTTGTTCGCCCTCGAGCCCGGCCCCCTGAGTGCCGGGGCCTTCGCCCTCGAGCTCGGCCCCCTGATTTCCCCAGCCGTGGCCTTCGCCCTCGAGCCGGGCCTCCTGACGCTTTCAGCCGCTGCCTTTGCTCTCATGCCCGGCCCCCTGAGTTCGCCCGCTGTGGTCTTCGCCCTTTTTTGAACTCTGCCTTGCCCCCGGGCCGTCCGCCCGAGACCCCCTCCTTGATCTCTGCCTTGCCCCCGGGCCGTCCGCCCGAGACCCCTTCCGGGTCCTCCGCTGTGCCCCTGGGCTGTCAGCCCAAACCCGTCCTCCAGACCCCCTCCACCCACCCTGCTGGAATTTTTTTGACTTTTGGGGGTTTTCTTGGGACGTCTGGAATCCGTCCCTTGAGGGGGGGGTTCTGTTACGGTTTTGTATTTATGTTTTCATTTTCCACCTTTTTGTTTTGAAATGTTTGCCTCCTTGTGTCTTCTCTGTTCCTTCTTCCTGTGTTTGCCTTCCTGTCATTAGTTCCCCTGGTGTGTCTGATTGTCTGATTGTGTTCACCTGTTGCCCTTGTGTTTCTGCCTCTCTTACCCCAGCTGTGTCTTGTCTTGTGATTACCCCTCCCTGTATTTAGTCTTGTCTCTTCCTGTGTTCCCCTGTCGGTTCATTGTTGGTTTTTCCTGTCTTCCTCCATGTCAGTCACGGTTGTCTCTCCTGTCTCCCTCCATGTGGGTCACGGTCAGTTTTTTGTACAACCCATTTGTTTCATGCCTTGTTTTGATCAGCTTTTAAAATAAAGCTCGCTTTTTGTTACGAGACCTGTTACCTTTTTGATAGTCTGCATTTGGGTCCTACCCTTCCACGCCATCCTAACATCCTCAGTGCACACAAAAACATAACTTGGAGAAATAAATATATACGGATATGTTATTGATCACCCCTCCATTATGTTCTCTTGTTAAGAAATGTATTCTCATAAATGATGCGGTAGACAGAAGGACAGAATTACTTTAAACTGACGCCGTTTTGCATTTCTATAGGTTGTGGATACGAGCATGGTTTTATATACTATCACGTTTAATCATGTTTTATGCCGTTCGCCAAGACTTGATAAGTCACTCGTAAAACACAGGAGGTATGGAAACTAAGAACACCATATGTGGTAAATTGTACAGCTAATATAACACAACACATTAGTTGTATTTCCTTTAACTGGTGGATTATGGATATATAGTTGCTGATCGACAGCTGGAACACAAACCACCAAATACAACCAAATAATTCAGATCCAGTCGTCATGACTCCACTCCGGAGGGATTCCCCGATCATTTCTTACAGTGTCTCATCAAGGGGGTGTCTCCTGTCCCCGGTACAAACACACTATGTGTATTTTTTTTGTCATTAACCTTTTTTGGACCACTTATTTATTTATTTTGGTAACGATCCGACCTTCATGCTGCTACTCTGGTTCAAACTGCATCCACCAAACAATGTGATTTGTCTCCACCTTCCCAAAAGAACCAAAATCTCACACGGAGTGAAATGTCTTTTTTAGCTGTTCTGTCGTCATTTCCTGAGATCTTCTTCATGCAGTCAGTCAAAATGAATATTAATACGGGGCGTTTCTTTGACTATTTATAGGCAATATGGGCGTTACGTGAAGCCCGCAAAAGCTGCGCCGCATTTCGAGTTGATTGTGATTTATAAAGGGAAACCGGCGTAGGACGTGCCGCACGCACGTCCCACACCGGTATGCAGTGTTTTATAAATCGGAAAATTTCTGTGCGTATTTATTTGTTTTGTCCTACGTAAGCAATCTTCCCACGTGAATCCTACGCAAGGCTTTATAAATGAGGCCCCAGAACACACAGAGAGAGGATTTGTATTGGTGACTTGTACTGAGTATAAGTATAGAATAAATCCCGTTTGGCTGCCAATTATGTTGTGGAGATAATATTAATACCAGGTCTGTGAAACCTGAGCAGACCAGAGGAAAGTATCTGGACTCTGAGCCCACTGACCTGCCGTCCTGTAGGCCCACACAGATGATGTTCTCTGTGGGGGCTGCAGGGGGGGCCCCCACACAGATGATGTTCTCTGTGGCGGCTGCAGGGGGGGCCCCCACACAGATGATGTTCTCTGTGGCGGCTGCAGTGGGGGCCTCCTCTGGGCTGGGACATGGCTCCTTCACGTACTCCAGGCAGAGGACCGGGGACATCAGCGGGACGCTCTTAACCAGGCGAGGAGACGCGCGGTTCAGGGAGAAGATCTCCACCTGGCCGTGGTCCAAGCCGCCTCCTCCACCCGCAACCTGAACTCCATCAGAAACAGAAACATGTCTACTCATTCAAAAACAATAAGACAGACCGAGGAGTTTACCACATTAGCAAACAATCATGATAAAATAAACAATACACAAATAAAAAATTCAAACTTGGGCTTCTTCTAGAAATCATTAAACATCATGAATACAATGTAATGACAATTTATTTTCAAAAGAGTAACAAGCTCTTGATAATAGTAATAGTAATAGTAATAATAATGGAGTGGAATAGGAATAACTTCCTAAGAAGGTTAGGTAGCCCCACATATCTGATGAATATTGGTGCCGTACACTGAACATAGAATGTGTTCTGGGGACAGAAAACAAGCGATCCACATTGAAAGCCAACAGACCTACAGCTGTATGAACAGATATATAGTAACATCATCTTACACACCTTTATCAACTGTTGATTGATAAATTGATACATTTTTGATTTGTGGTCATCAGTCTTAGAAACAAAAGTATCTAAAGGATATTATGTTAAAGTTAAAAATGTTGGTACCAATATGTTAGAAGTAAAGAAAAACACAACAAAGCAAAATACAATACAAAAAAAACTAAAAGAATCCTGAAACCCTAAAACACATTACACAATCATATATAATGTATAGTATCTCTTTATATATATATCTGTGCTAAGGCAGCGTACCCACCCAGAGGTAACCCTGAGGTAAGGAGGTGCTGGAGGAGCAGGAGCCCAGCAGGCTGCACCGAGCCGGGCTGTGGAGAGCTGCCTGCAGGCACACAGGCACACACACACACACACACACACACACACACACACACAGACACACACACACACACACACACACACACACACACACACACACACACACACACACACACACACACACACACACACACACACACACACAGTAAGACCTTTTTCACGTCAAAGCTGGTGGAATAAATACATGTTGAAATTTAATCCGAAAATAAGTATGAACACAAATAATATTGTGCCTAGATAGATTACAACATGTATTTATTTGTTCAATTTAATTGAACTAGGTTTATTATTGAATATATTCCATTCTGACATGTATAAAGACATGGGCACAACCCACGTCATCACTGGCTTTAGAGGGATCCACAAACAAAACACAGAAAATGATAATCCAGAAGAAATGTTTTGAAAAGAAAATGTGTTTATTAAGATTTGTGATGGGCTCAGTTTCATCACCTCCTAATGCTATTTTACAGTTTTTATTTCTACAATGTATTTATATCTTGAATGCTGCAAACCTCCTCAGTCTGATGTTAATATCAGTTCACAGCTTAGCCAGAAGATACTGCTGCTCAGTGACCTACATTAACTAGGAAACACCCCTAATAATAATAATGATAATAATAATATACCTTTTAGAATATATATATCAATAATTAGTTGCAGCTCTCACCTTCAGTGTGTGTGTTCTGGAGGAGAAGACAGGAAGTCTGCAGGTCAGCAGTGGACAGCTGAATGCAGCCTTCGTCTTCCCATCTTCTTCATCACATTCCCAGCCCGGAGTGTTCTCCTGTCCTGAGCACACACACAACCAATGCACACACACACACACACACACACACTTTTAGAGACTAATTCAGTCACAGTTTTGAAGAGTGTGCTCAATACAAACACAGTAAGTTGCAATGTGACGCATGATGATCAGACAGACAGACAGACACACAAACACTCTCACACTCACACACACACACACACACACACACACACACACACACACACACACACACACACACACACACACTTACTCTGAGCTATCTTGGCGAGGTGCATCCGGTTGACCCAAGAGATCTTACTGAGGGGGCTGGGGGTGTTGAAGACCAGAATGATGCTCACTGGACGACCACACCTGGGGACATGATCACATGATGAGCTACACTCTGCTCCTGTAGGGCAGCTGCATCAGCGTCCTGCAGAGAGCCTCACCTGTCAGGCTTCCCGGGGACAGACAGCCGCAGGCGGCACCTGTTGGCGTTCTGGATCTCCTCCTCCTTCAGACGCACCAGCCTCTGCAGAGCCAGACTCCAGTCCTGAGACACCAGGCTGTTGAGATTCTGACAGCCACACAGCACAGTGACTTTATTAAATCCTCTGAGAAAGATGGAGGGAGAAATGAGCTTCAGCCTATACTGAGCAGAGCAGCATCCTTAACTGTCTCACAATGAAGATTCTGCTTTAATACAACTTAGATCTCACTCTGCTACTTTTGGCTCATCAGTTAAGGAAGAGAAGCGGACGTGAGGAAAACACAGCGAGAGTGGAGGTGATGTTCTGGTAGGGAGGCTTTGTTTTCATGTGTGTATAATAAAGTGTAATACTAGGGCGTAGTGAATATCCGATCACAAGTTATATTTTCAGAGCCTTCCCTGTCTGCTGCACGGCCTGGTCCTGCATTAGTATACAGGAGAAACAACCAAAGAGCTGAAAAAACAACGGACAAGCAGCAGGGAGAGCTAACACTGAGTTTCTCAATAAAACAGAAGCTTTTTAAGTGTGTATGATGATTGTTAAAAATACAGAGAATTCTATTAATAGTTCCGAAACACAAAACAGGAAAACTGATTTTTACTGTAAAAATTATAATAATAATAATGCATTTTATTCATAGACCGCTTTTCTAGATACTCAAAGAACCTTTGCAGAGTAAAAATTCATAAAAACATAGATAAAACAACACACTTAAAATATATAAAACACAACATTAATTACAGATTAAAAGCAGTTCTGAAAAGGTGAGTTTTGTTTTGTGATTTGAAAATGGTGAGATTGGGGCAGTCACGGTTGTGTTTGTGGAGTGAGTTCCAGAGGGAGGGGACAGCAACGGAGAAGGCTCTGTCTCCCCAGGTCCGGTGCTTGGTCCTATGAGGGAAAGACAGGAGGTTGATGTCTGAGGAGCGGAGGCTGCGGGAAGGAGTGTGGTGATGGAGCAGGTCAGTGAGGGAGGGGGGGCCTGGTCAGTGAGGAGTGGGGGGCCTGGTGAAGGAGCAGGTCAGTTAGGTAGGAGGTGGCCTGGTGATTGAGCAGGTCAGTGAGGTAGGAGGTGGCCTGGTGATGGAGCAGGTCTGTGAGGTAGGAGGTGGCCTGGTGATGGAGCAGGTATGTGAGGTAGGAGGGGGATGGTGGTGGAGCAGGTATGTGAGGTAGGAGGTGGCCTGGTGATGGAGCAGGTCAGTGAGGTAGGAGGGGGCTGGTGGTGGAGCAGGTCAGTGAGGTAGGTGGGGGCTGGTGGTGGAGCAGGTCAGTGAAGTAGGAGGGGGCTGGTGATGGAGCAGGTCAGTGAGGTAGGAGGGGGCTGGTGGTGCAGCAGGTCTGTTAGGTAGGAGGGGGCTGGTGATGGAGCAGGTCAGTGAGGCAGGAGGGGGCTGGTGGTGGAGCAGGTCAGTGAGGTAGGAGGGGGCTGGTGATGGAGCAGGTCAGTGAGGTAGGAGGGGGCTGGTGATGGAGCAGGTATGTGAGGTAGGAGGGGGCTGGTGGTGGAGCAGGTATGTGAGGTAGGAGGGGGCTGGTGGTGGAGCAGGTCTGTTAGGTAGGAGGGGGCTGGTGATGGAGCAGGTATGTGAGGTAGGAGGGGGCTGGTGGTGGAGCAGGTCTGTTATGGCGCATTTCCACCACACGGTCGGCCTCGGCCTCGCTCGGTACTGCTTGGCCGCGTTGGGCCTTAACAGGGCCGGCTCACTTCATGCTGCGCTTCCATTACAGTTTAGGAACTGGGGTAGTTACTATAGTAACGCAGTGTAGGCGGAGCCGTGACGTCATCTTCAATGAGAACCCCAGAAAAACAACACAGCCGTTAGCTGTTAGCACTCAGAGCTCACAGCTCCTTATATATGTTCAGAAACTCGACAAAAGTTAAACAAGTACACACCACAGACTGCCTGTGTCATGACGAGTACAGTCGCTGCTTTATTTATGTCTGTATAGGCCGTTGTTGTGAGTGTGGACGGTCGGAGCATATACTGCGTTAGCTTAGCCAATCTCCATTTAGAAAACACGCATTTTAAAAGGTTTTTCGCCTGCCGTCTGTCTGCAGACTTGACAAAGCATTAATTCATGGTTTTTACTAACCGGTATCAGTATGTTGTTACTTCGGCATCATTTTGAAACGTGTATTACAATTAAATCACGGTCAAATATGTCCATCTTGTTGTAGTTGTAGCCCCGTTGCCAGCGCTCCTCTCTCTAGTTTAGCATACTCAGCCCGACTCAGCCCTGTTTGTTGGCCCCGATAGAACCACAATTTTGTCGGGCCAGAAAAGAGGTGAAAAAGTGGCCCCGGGCCGGGCCGGGCCGTAACTAGGCCTAGTGGAAGCGCAACCAAAAACGGGCACGGCACGACACGGCACGCTTAAACCGCGCTCCGCGCCATGGTGGAAATGCGCCAATAGGTAGGAGGGGGCCTGGTGATGGAGCAGGTCAGTGAGGTAGGAGGTGGCCTGGTGATGGAGCAGGTATGTTAGGTAGGAGGTGGCCTGGTGATGGAGCAGGTCAGTGAGGTAGGAGGTGGCCTGGTGATGGAGCAGGTATGTTAGGTAGGAGGTGGCCTGGTGGTGGAGCAGGTATGTTAGGTAGGAGGTGGCCTGGTGATGGAGCAGGTCAGTGAGGTAGGAGGTGGCCTGGTGATGGAGCAGGTATGTTAGGTAGGAGGTGGCCTGGTGATGGAGCAGGTCAGTGAGGTAGCAGGTGGCCTGGTGATGGAGCAGGTCTGTGAGGTAGGAGGGGGCCTGGTGATGGAGCAGGTCTGTGAGGTAGGAGGGGGCTGGTGGTGGAGCAGGTCTGTGAGGTAGGAGGGGGCCTGGTGATGTAGCAGGTCTGTGAGGTAGGAGGGGGCTGGTGGTGGAGCAGGTCTGTTAGGTAGGAGGGGACCTGGTGATGGAGCACGTCAGTGAGGGTCATGGGAACAGGTGTGGGTGAGGAGACGGCGGCAGAGTTCTGAATATACTGGAGTTTATTGAAGAGTTTGGATGGTATACCATAGAGGATGCTGTTAATAAGATAAGAGGTACTTTATTGATTGTTGCAGTAGTCTAGTCAACCCGGTATCACGGCAAGACGTGAACATGTGACGATCTACCATGCTGGGAGACGTGAATATGTCACGGTTTCGTCCCTTCAAACGTGACAGTTACACGGTATTGTTAACATGGCCCAACCAGTGGAGAAATACCCGGAAGTGCCTAGCAAATGGTCTACCGCGCCTATTGGTCGGTTTTTATTGTCAAAATTAGATGTTTTTAATTTATTTTTTAATCGTCACACTCGATTTCGCCGATTTTCTTGTTGCCCTAGCTGGTCGACACCTCTTTTAGCAGAAACAAAGGCTACATTAATGTATTAAATCGATGTTAATCCATGTGTGTGGAGGTGAGGATGTGGAATTAACGGACGTGACGTTGTGCGATTGCGTTGCCAGGCAACGCAATTTACAAAGTCTTCAACTACAACCCTAATTATATTTAAAAACATTTTAGAAGGCCTCACGAAATACTTTAATGTAAATTAAAATGTAAATGTGAAGGAATGTGTGTAATGTGGTGATTGACATTATTCACCCACGGATCTATGGGTTGGGGGTATTGTTCCGCACGGACATTTTAGTTAACCGGACTCCTGTTGATGTGAAATCCGAAAACATTAAAATAAATTTAAAAAAATACATTATTCCGAGTGTGCTTGCTTTTCTCTTTGGAGGTCATCACATAACGGCATTGTAATACACGGTTCGGCTGCATTAAATATTACATATCTGCCGTAGTTCTGTATTTATAGAGCCCTGATGAGAAGACTTCTGGACAAACAGGAAGCACTGCCGCCAAAACTGAAAACGTGACGTGGATCATAAATATATCAGCAATTAAACAACATCTTACATTTCTTTTTACACAATACGTCTCCTTGCAGTATCAATACTAATTCGGCTGACTTTTATATTTGATCCAATTGGTAGATAGGCTGTATTTACACCATAACGGTGCACAGCTGATAGAAAGGCACATCTAGTGGTTAAAGCACGTTATTGAATTTTATTATTTTATTATTTTTCACAAAAATGAAACCATCAATAGCAGAAACAGAATTAACTGTCATTAGTAAACCACTCAAATAAAAAGATCATAAGTGGTTTTGTTTTATATATATTTGAAGGATAATAATAGCAATGTAACACTGTCTATGACACTTAGGCCTACTGTATAACACTGATTTGAAAAACATACAGAAAAAACTAATTCACTGCCCTTAATAAAGTATTTAAATATACATTTCAGGTGTGCTGTTTTGTTTAGATCATTGACATCTGGAGCTCTTTTAATGTCCTTTTTGATTATTGTTACACCAGGTCTTGTCAAAACCTTTATTCCATATTCAATATCCATTACTAAACAAAACAGCAATTCTACTCCACTACAGTTCAGAGGTTAACCTGGTATTTTTACTCCACTACATTTATTTTAGTTACTTTGCAGATTCTGATTAATGATGTGAAATATAAACAACCCTTAAATCAGGCTTTAGTTACACCTGAGTAAAATTCAGGGAAAGGTGATCGTCAAGTGCCAACAATCAGGAGAGATATTTGATAGTTGCTGCTTGAGAAGACTAAACATTTATCTGCAGATCCCTATAAAGTATATTCATTACTCGTTATTCTCTACTAATAGTTAATTAAAGACTGTATATAATAGCTATTTTGCATATCCCTTTCAAGATTTCAAGATTTTCTAAGGTTCATTGACACAACTAATTCAATAACGTGCTTTAACCACTAGGCGGTGCACACAAGGTACACACAGCCATAATAACTTTGTATTATTAGTGTAGGACACTTGTGTATGTATAACATCTGAAGATGTGTAGTTTTATTCATGCTTTCACATAATTGTACAGGATATTGCTATATTATTTCACATGTTTTACTTCTAATATCTGATTTGTAAAACATCACAGACAGAAAGGTATATCCGTCATTTAACAGTAAGCTATTGAAATTCTGAATCCATAGATGTGTCTCCCATCACCCAAATCCCCTGACTATTCTCTCAACTCAGTATTTACATTC